GGGGGGGGGGGGGGGGGGGGGGGGGGGGGGGGATTTACTGGGCATGGGGATGAAAAATTCATAGCTGGCTCGCAGCAGACAGACCCCCCATCAGGAAATGATTCAGTGTCTGGCTGCTGATACAGTATGTGGGTCAACAGTGGAGGAGGAGAAATCACCAGATGACAGACAGATAAGCAGAATCATTCAGAACTGACCTGTACCTGCTGTGCACACCAAAACTACATGACGTGTACCAAAAGAGATACTACGGAAAACAATCACTGTCGAGTGTATTTGCCGTTAAAGCTGTAAACTGTATATAAGAGGAGGACCCAGTCACCCTGACGTCACCCATTGGTTTGTGGACTGCTGTTGTGAAGCCTCGAGTTCTGCATTTTGGCCGTCGCCATTTTGTTTTTTTACACTGAATAAGATATTTGTAGGCGACTAGAACGTTGTAATTAGTAATGTACGCTGGCTGTTTGGATCCAGAAGACAACGTGAGGAGAAGATTTGCTCCGCTTTCCGTCGGTACACACCTTCAGTGTTACTCGAGTTTTTGCATCTGTGAGCCCACACGCTGAAGTCCATCTGGTCTGCAGATATCAAGCCGCTGGTTCAGGAGTCTCCTGAGCTAACCGAACACAAAAAAAACCTTCCTTCTTCAACTCAATGGATTCTTCTACCAGTGTTCCTCAGGCAACTTCTTGAGTACATTGTGTGGTATTGTAGACTTTTTACTAAGATCTAATGTTTATGAGGGTGGGGGGGGCCAGCAGACTCCTCTTTGCGGTTGAGATTAAAAGCTGTATCGATTAAATGTCGCAATGACTTAAACATGTTGGTGGTTGACAATCATTTAAGAGTTCTGTTTTTATGTCACTGGAAGAGGAAAAACGAGCCTGTATTGATCTTTGGATAAAAGTTAGTCTTTAAAAGGACACTGTCCGACTCTTTCTGCCATGTGTTGTCTCCGTCAGGAGGAGCTGGAACTATTCCTGTCCCCCGCACGGTGTCAAGTGTGATTAAAGCCAATCACCAAACGGTGTGATGGAACGGCTGGCGTGCGGCGTACGTCCCCACGGATCAGACGCCGCACATGCAGCCCTCTGAGTCATTATGGGTAATAAATACAGAGACTAAAAGTGGACGATGTGGTCACAGGATCTGACCGCCAACTCCACAGGGACAAACGAGACAACACACACGCATATGCACTTGCGAGGACGCCGTCTCATTGACACAATTCATTCTCTAACCTCACAACCCCAAACTAAACTCAACCTAATTCTGCCATTAAAGGGATACAACAGCAAATGAGCTTCGAGAAAGTTGGAGAAATTTGACCAGATGAGACGCCAACATTCTGTACTTCTCAGTCTTTTAACCCTCAGTGGATCCTCCATTTCCCATAATGCAACAGCAGATTTTCTTCAACACGCAGGCCGTGATTACGTCATATTCTGGGCTTCACTACGGCGAGTATAATCGAAGCTTCAAACAGCCCTTTGAAGATGAGAGCAACTGACAAAAAGCTCCCTCTCCAAAACTGTCGTCACTGTCAAACTTAAAATGGTCCTCACAAAGATAGAACACCTACCCGACAGGCAGCGATGCATTGATACATAAATACGACTGCAGAAACAGACACTCTCCTAGCCTCACCCGCTGCGGGCCACATTCTGCCTGGCGAGCAGCTGAGATGCTATTTTGGGTTGAAGACACACTCGTGCACACACACACGGACAACTCCATAAGTCAAAAGAAGAACGGGATAAACTGAGGGCAAAGAGTGTTTTTGCGTGGTGACCGTGTGAGTGCTGAGGGAGTGGGTGTGTTTGTGTGTCTCAAAAAGAAACACCTCATTGCACATGGCTGCCTCAAACATCTGTAAATAACTCATCCCCCTAAATCTGTCGGAGCATGTCAAGTGTGTGTGTGTGTGTGTGTGTGTGTGCGACAGCACATTTCAGCGCGACTGCCACTGTTTGTTTGTGCGTCTGTGTTGACGAGGAGGAGAGGACGTGTACTCACGGCAGTCCTGTTCGTCGGAGTCGTCCTCGCAGTCGTTGTCTCCGTCACACACCCAGGAGCGGCGGATGCATTTGCCGTTGTCGCAGTGGAAGTCCAGCGGTGAGCAGGTGGGCAGCACTGCAAACAAACAAGGGCAGACAACAAGTCTGTCAGCAGGGACAAACACACAAACAGTTAAACTGTGAGGCTGAAGGGAGGGGAGAGCTTACAGATCTATACAACAATATGACTGTCGGTGCTTTTCCGTCTGTATTTTAGTATTTGTGATACATGTATTGATGATACATGATTTGATTTGTCTATCATGTATGTAACCATATTGTAGGCCTGAGTGACTAGTGCTAATGTAAGATCAGGGTTCAACGTTAATGTTTATTTTCCACTCCATTTTCTTTTTTTAAATTGCCAAAAATGTCATTTAAGTAAATAAATCTTGACTTACATCCTCTTGCTTTTTCTTAGCAGTAATGAAGCAGTGTTTCTTTTGATGACTTACTGTGAGATAAAATCATGTTTTTCTACAAAACGTTCTTAATATAAAATGTCTCAATACAAACAGCCGCACAAAACCCTCTTTACCAAAATAAGAGTCCAAAAATGGTCAAAATAATGTGATCAAAGAATTCTGGAAGTAAAACAGATTGTGGCTCCGAGCCAGCGCTAAACACCAACTCTGAGTGCTGTACAGTTGTGTTGAATCGTTTTTAACGATTTCACAGTCATCACTCCTGTATGGCAGCAGGCTGCAGCAAGTCAGAGTTTATATGCAGGAGGGTTCATTCCCCGCCTGGTCTCAGCTCATCCAGAGCCTGAGCCTGATCTGGACCCACAAGTCCTCTCCTCTCGACCCAGAAAGCAGCGCTGAGCTCAGCTCGGCTCAACGCATTCCTCCATAACTTCATATCCGCTCTAAGTGCAGCTACTCGCTATCTAAGCAGAGCCCAAATGACTGGCCCTTTGTCATCCGCAGACAGACCTAATTTAATTACAGGCCAGAGAGGGATGGAGGGAGGAGGAGAGACGAGAGGGGAGGGGAGGAGAGGGAGCGGCAGCTACCCACAGCCGACTCTCGCCCCGCTTGTCAATACCAGATATGAAATATTGACCGAGCAACGCAGACTTTATGAAAAATGTATGACGTCATGCAGCAGGTTAACCAGCGAGGCAGACAGGCGGACGAGTCGGGGCTCAGGGAGGGAATTGAGTAGGCGTGTGTGTGTGTGTGTGTGTGTGTGTAGGGGTGTGGCTCTTGTCTCCAGGGAAAGTAAAGCCCCACTGACCCACATACCCCTGCATGGATATTACATTATTCAGAGAGCAACAGAGACAGACAGAAGCAAACAGAACCCTCTCTCATACTCTTCACCTTCTGATGAACTCTTTCATGTCCAAATAACTTGACCGTACTGACGGTTGGGCAACATTTGCATAAACAATGCATTTCTGCAAACAATGCATTTCTGCAAACAATTATCTAATTTATACTATCAGTTTCTTTATTGTTTTTTCTTACAGGCAACCATTGATTTCCGTTCAATAGCGGGATGAGACAATGAAAACTGAGATGCTATATTTAGTCATTGTAAAACATTTTTTAGTGGAGCTGAAATGATTCATTGATTAGCCAGTCAAGAGAAATCATATCATAATTTGTCTATTATAAACATGTCAATAAACAGTTTTATCATCATTTTTAAGCTTCTAAAACCTAAATATTTGTATTTGTTTGATAGTAAACTGAATATATTTGGTGTTAAAACACTGATCAAATACAAACAATTTAAATATGTCAACTTTGGCCCTCTATAATTGCAATTGGCAAGTAAACAACAAATTAATGAATTATGAAAATAATCCCTAGTTGCAACCCTAAATACAATTGAATTTGAATTGTGACCCCACTCAATTGAAATCCAATTGCAAAATAATCAAAGATTCCCATAACACATCCAAAGCTATACTGGTTTGTTCAAATATGTTTAACTGGTACAATTGATTCACTTTCAAAAGACACAAAAGACGTAAAACACCGAAATAAAATAAGGGCTGAGTTCAATATTTGCCAGAACTGCTGCAATAAGCTGGAACTGAACAAGTAGAACTCGCAGCGGTCCATGAGCGAAACCTCCAGAGAGTCTGTCAGTGAGAGTCCTGACGCCTGCACACACCGTCTACAGACCTCTCTTTGTCAAAACCGAGGCGGTTTGATGCATTTTGGATGCGTCTCCGACAGAGCGTCAGCAGATTCAGGGCCTCGACCGACCAAGAGGAGAAAAAAAAATGCTGCTTCTCAAAGTTTCAATAAATAATTCAGCTCGTCAGAGGAGCGAGGGAGAGTGCGGTGCTGACACGCACATGCAAACGCACACATGCAGACATAAGCAAACCGTCACTGCGCAGTCTAAAAAACAAACACACACTCGTCCGCAGCGCAGACTTGTTTAGGCACACACATTTTGCAAAGGGGTGCAAATTGTATGCAAATAAATACTCCACAGGCAAGGACGCGCGGTAGGTGAGGCCTGTGTGCTGGTATCGGGTAGATCAGCAGGGAGCATGCTGGGAAGGTTGAGGAGGTCTCCGGGCGCTTTGATCCCTCTTATCACACAGATTGTGCTCAGCTCAGCTACTCTTGCTACCACTGCATTCCTCTCAGGCTGACGCCGCACACACACACACACACACACACACACACACACACACACACACGCACACACACACGCACACACACACGCACACACACGCACACACACACACACACTCAGAAGGTTCCGATACCATGTTTTCCTTTCCGATATAGATTCCGATACCAGGGCGTTAAAAACTACAACTAAACTATCATTACTACTTTTTAGCAACTGTGTACTACTAACCATGTGTGGACGTAATGTGATTGCTATAATTGTTGTATATGGAGTAGTTCAGATTAAACCCTTTGTGAACAAATGAATACAGAGAAAGAATGCCATAGAACTATATTTTATTATCTAGTTTTGCCAGTGTAAAATATTGCCAAAGTGCTGACATTTCTCTACCTCTGGCTAAGGTAGCGAGTGAAAGAATATATATGATATGATAGCGTGATATCGGATCGGTGCATAGACTCGCACACTCGCCGATAACTCATCCAGCATGGTCTGGGCCGAATTTGAGGCATTTCTGATACTATCAGTAAAACTCGACTTCAAACCCTTTACTTTGTCCACTTCCTGTTCCCTCTTTGCATTCCAGGAATCCTTACATGATGTGTTCTACTTGTCTGTGCACCTACTTTCCCTCCACCTGCCTCATTCCTACATTTCTGAGAACCACCTCCACCTCCAAAGACAACAACGTTGATGATGCAGATATTTTGGCAGTTGATAACAAAGGGCTGACAGAATAACACCAGAGCAAAACCACATCAAAGATGGTGTTACATTTCACAAGCTACTGACGTCGGATACCCGACGCATTGCATTCTGGTCTACTTCATGCGCCTGTGGTGCTCCATCAATTATGCAATATTATATACACACACACACACACACACACACACACACACACACACACACACACACACACACACACACACACACTGAAGGCCTGTATGGACTGACCATTGCACTGCTCTCTCACAGTCTTCCCCCAGATTATGAACAACAAATCCCTCTTTTGTTATTTTGTTGTATTTTACCTGTAGTGGTATATATCCATAAGGGCTACACCTAATACTTTGAACTACAAAGCTTCAGTATAACGTTGACATTTGAATTATAATTATTAATAACTTACAGAGGCATTGTGTCTCTCTCACACACACACACAGCGAGCGACACAGCGCTCAGTCCGCTTCTCTGTAATTATCTCAGTCCACAGTCCAAAAAATTGAAAAATGTATTGAAAAAATATAGTGTCATCTATTCCGAAATCCGTAACATGTTTTATCTAACGAAATATTCTGCTTCAATCCATAACTGTTGGCATTTAGCCTTTCAAAAACAACTTTCACTAAAGTAAAAAACAGTTTACTCTCCCTCACACCTGTAATAATGGGGCAGGAATGAACATTACATTTATATAACCACAATAGAACAACATCTTATTTTTGCCAATTTTTAGGGTGATGACATTAAAACATATGATGAGACATTCAAAGCTTCATTTGAAAACCTCAAGCTTCAAATGTAAAAAACGAGACACTGTCCGTACAGCCGTAAAAGCCACACCGGTATTGTTTATTTAACTTGCTTTAAGGCTAACATTCAGGAGTCTGTGTGTTTATGTTCATGTGTAGTCGTCTCCAAATGTCAGACATGGAGCCAAGCGAATGAAAAAGGTGCACAGATATCCAGATCACCACTAATGTTTCCAGTAGAGACGAGGGGAACCTGTAGCTGAACCGACTAAAAGAGAAAAACCTTTATTAAATATTCCCGTTAGACGTGCAGACTCCTCTGTCCTGCTGAGAGATGTCTGCCTCGACCCCAATATAATGGGCTCATGGTATATGTGTGTTGAGTCTGGACTGTTGAGAGTTACGCAATGTTTCTGAAAGGAGATGTTGCTGGAGTTGTATAAAGTTACTTCCTTATGTTTTCACAGCTTTATGAAATAGATATCAGAGAGGGAATTATGGCCGGTTTAACTTCCTAACACTAGCTCTAATCAGCTTATAATAATCATTAAATCTACTAATGCAAAATAATGAAATCAATAAAAATACGATCTTATATTTCGTTATCGCTTGATTTGTGCGTTTCTATGCATGTAACCACTGTAGATGACCACAACAAAGTAAAAGGATAACATTTAGAATTCTTGAATTTTGGAGTTGTTGAAATTTCTGGATGGTTTTGAAAAAGAAAGCCATGTGACCAACGTCAACACTCTGCAATTGTATCGGCAGCAAAAAACAACAACATGATCTAAAAGTTATATCTGCTGATCCGATCCGTGACCTAAAACACTGATAATATCACATTACATTCAAATCACAAATTTGCCTCGGAGGGCTTCACAATCTGTACAACATACAACATCCTCTGGATTTAAGGTTCGTCGTATGCAAACACAGGATCAGATTAGTGTAAATGCATTTTCAGCATGTCTTTCACATAGAGTACTAAAGAGTTTGT